TAAGTTTCACGAAGAAGTAACCAAGAATCACGAAAATCGCAATTTTTTATTTCCAACAACATACGGATATATCCGGCAAGGACCCCAAAAATGGGACAACCTGTACAGTCCTAATATATTAACATTATACCAAAGTCTATATACAGGATGAGTCTTAAATAAGTGCAAATATTTTCAGGGCTGGTAGATCTCGATAAAAGAAACATATTTTCTCTTTACTGTTTCTCGAATAAGTCCAAAATAACCGAGTTATTCAAGTTTGAATAAAAAAAAATATTTAAAAAAATATTTTGGGAGTCACCGGATTTTTTTCTGTATTTTCATCCCTTTTGTGCTGTAACCATAGAGTACAGCCGTAACCATGGTAAGGTCAGAGATTAAGAAATTATACCGTGGGAAAATTTGCGGCGAACAAACAGGAAATTCTAAAAAGTTTTCTAAAATATACGGGAAAATTTAAAAGAAAATGTACGATTTACAACATTTTTTTTGTGTATGGGATTAAAATATACCACCCTCAAAAATATTTGCACTTATTTAAGACTCACCCCGTATATTATACGATACTTTTATGTTTTAAGAAAAAAAAAGGTCGTTGTACACATAGACAAATAATTGTACAAGTTGAACAATTATTTGAATTGTCTCACCAACCAGTCAGTTAAACTAAACCATTTTTTTATACCGTATGATCGAAAAAAAAACGGCGTCCAGTTGGCTGGGAAATGAACATCGATGACGTTTCCCATATAAATTTACATATAAAATGACAGCGATCTTCATTCCATAGCCATCGCTGACGCCGTTTTTTCTCGATCATACGGTATATATTTAGGTACATTTGTTACCTCAAAAATTAAGTAAATATTGACAAGATGACAAGCCCTAACATATTGTGTAAGGATAATATTATGAATAATGTTGGTTTGTTGTGACAATTGGTACACAACTCTTTCAAAATGAGATGAAACAACGGACTGTTTTAGCGAACCTAAATACACTAACAGCGTTTTCAGATGGAGCGGAGCGTCCGTGACGGACCGTCCGCGACTTCGAGCAAGTAAAAACAGACAGACGAAAATAAGAAGAAGTTTATCTTCAAATATGCGCACATACTGCAACACAATTTTTTTATGGGGCCTCTTCAATACATACGCATTATTTTAACACACACACACTTTCCATTCGTATGCCAATTTACAACAATACTCTCCCAGGTGCTAATCACATTACAAATTATTGTATAACTTTTACACATTGTGGTGCGTACCACTCTATTGTTACAAAGTAACGAATTTTATCAAATTATCACCTTGGTTTTTTTTTTCGAGTAGTACATTCATCCCAGGCACGGCCAAAAATATTTTTAACTCAGCTGATGTATTATTTAGCGTGTCCGCAAATGTGTTTTCCCAATTATGAAATATTTATATCCTATAGGATATTGGTATGATAAAATGGAACATTTACGAAGCATCTGTTTTAACAATTTTCTATATTTCATTTATACAGGGTGATTCCTGTAAGTCGGTCATGCTTTCGAGGAATGATAGGGGACGTCGAAATATTAATTTTGATATAGCACACTATAGGTCGGAAATGCCTCTTACGCAAGATACAGGGTGTTAAAGTTTTTGAAAAATTAAAGATATTCTTTAATAGTTTTTTAACAGTTAAAGGTATCGTTATAAAATTTTATTAGGAATCTACCTAACAGAGACACTTTAAATGTAAAAAGAAGAGGTTTTACTTTCAACCAGTGGCGTAGATGTGATATGCATCGGGTAATTTTTTCAAAAAAAAATAGTACGCCACTGATAAAAATAAAAATTTCGGAGTTTTTTTATTTACTCGGTGTATTTCCAAGAAAAAATGTCTCTTGCAACTTTCTCCTATCTAACACCATTTTGTCACAATTTAAAAATAAATAATTTTTTTAATGAGAATCTTAAATACAGCGAATTATTATAACTAGAGGGCAGATAAACATCTGCATCGTTAGCTCCCTTCATCTTGGGTAATTTTAGTACTTTTTTACTATTAGCTCTAAATAAATTTTTTAAAAATTATAAAAAATTATTTTCTAAAAAACTAGAACTTTTTATTTTGAATAATAAAATTCGTAGTTTTAGGGTAGTTAAAATAATTCGCATATTTAAGGTTCTTAGTAAAAAAATATTTATTTTTAAATTGTGACAAAATGGTGTTAGATAGAAGAAAGTTGCAAGAGACATTTTTTTCTTGGAAATAAACCGAGTAAATAAAAAAACTCCGAAATTTTTATTTTTATCAGTGGCGTACTATTTTTTTTTAAATATTACCCGATGCGTATCACAGCTACGGCACTGGTTGAAACTAAAACCTCTTCTTTTTACATTTAAAGTGTCTCTGTTAGGCAGATTCCTATAATAAAATGTTATAACTATACCTTCAAAGTTATAGGGTTTATAAATATCTATTAGCGGGTAATAAATTTAAGTATACAGGGTCGGTCATAAAGTCGTGGCACATTAAAGTTTCATTTTTTTAAATGGAACCTCCTGTATATTATTGCATTTTTCGGTTCTTCCTTCAATTCTAAGCAAAAATCGAAATACATACAATGTACTTTAAACCAACCGTTTCCGAATTATTGACTTTTGAAAATATCACTTGAACAATTTGATTTAATTAATTTCGATATGTTCAGTTTCATTTAACGATGCCATTTTGCTGAAACTGTGATACTTAATACTATTTGACATTAGTTAGCATTTATAGATGTATAAAATGAGAGTATAGCAAGTCTGTGGAAATTACAAAATTTTCGTTTAACATTTCAATTCTTCAATTTATGTACATTGTGTATTACGATTATTGTTTAAAATTGAAGGAAGAATTGAAATAGGCAATAATATAGAGGGGGTTTCATTTAAAAAAAAAAGTTTGATGTGACACAACTTTATGCCCGACCCTGTATACTTAAATTTACTAGTAGCTAATAGGAATTTAAAACCCCATTACAAGTATTACAGTTTCGGCAGAATGGCCGGATCATTAAATCATACCAAACACATCGAAATTATAATTAAAATCGAATTGTTTAAGTGATATTTTCAAAAGCCAATAACTCGGAAACGGTTGCTTTGAGGTACATTGTGTGTATTTCGATTTTTGCTTAGAATTGAAGGAAGAATTGAAATATGTAATAATATACAGGGGGTTCTATTTAAAAATGAAAATTTGATGTGCCACAACTTTATGAACGACCCTGTATACTTAAATTTATTACTCGCTAATAGATATTTAAAAATTGTATATTTTAGCTAATAATCAACCGTTTCCATACATGAAAGCGACCCTGTATATTCCATATATCCCATGTGCCGATTTTAATTTCAAACTTGAACGCACTCTATGTTCCCAAGGTTTTTTTTTCAATTTGCAATAAATATATTTTATTACAAATTTTACGACCAAACGGAATAATTTTTAAAAAACAAAAACATTTTAAATACCTACATATAGCTTTATTTCCTCAGATATTTTCTCATTTTATTAAACAAAACCGTGTTTAAAACTAAGTTAGAATCAGTATCCACTATCATTCCGTATAAAGTACAAAATTTATATCACTGCCATGCGGTTTACCAAGAAAAAATGCCAGTCGTTTATGACTCTTCATGTATCATGTGAAACAATACATTGTTGTTATCGTGAGCAAAACAAATTTATTTTACATATAGGTACCTACATGGGTATTGTAGACAAATAACATGATTTTGAAATGCCGCACGATCGAAAAAAAACGGCATCAAAACGACCTCGCCAAAGTTATCATCAATGGTCATTCCCCAGCCGTCTTTGACGCCCTTTTTTTCGATCGTATGGTATTTCTGTGGTGGAAATTCAGAACAATATTTTTAGATTATATTTTATTGTTAAAAACTCAATTTTGACATGATGAAAATTTTCTTGACCCAAATAAAGTCTACCCAACGAGAGGATATATAGATGACACTGACAGTTCTCTGTCATTTTAATTTACAGGTAATTTATATTTTCTGTCATTTTTTGGATATCTCTGTCGAAATCTTTCTTGGCTCGTTTCACAGACTTTAGATACAGAAATTGATTAATTACAATTTGATAAAAAATGTATAAGACAATAATTATGATATATTAATTCAAATTTAAATAAACTTATTACTTATTTAGGTCCATTAACGTAATTTTTATTTTATGCTAATTGCTGTATACGTATATAATATTCATTTAGTGTTTTTTTTTATCGAAAATTTAGTCTTCTTGTCTGCTAAGTCTAAAAAATTATAATTATTTTCCTAGTTAAAAATAGTTCAATAACAACCGTCTATTTAGGTCATTGCTACTATTTCGAAACTGATAAAATTTGTTATCCAACTGCATTCAGAGGTCATTAGTTCACATAGATCAATTTATTTTTATTTTCTATTTATTTTTATTTATATTTTTCTCTGTTAAAGCGACTACACATAGAAGCTTGGACAATAGATTTTTTCTTTACTCATAATTTTTAAGGATTTTGGGTTTATTACTAATAATTAGTTTTTTTTGCAAAGTAGTATATTTTATTAAAGGCCTGTCTAGTGTCTACACTACCTGACAGTTTTGCTTGTGAGGTAAAACGGACCGTTTTTTCGTCTACACACAATGTTTTACCCGATTGACGTTTAAGACTAACAGGTAAACCATTATGTGTAGATGGGACTTCAGAGATTGGGAAGTTTATATCAAGTAATCATCTGTACTAAGATTTATTTTTTTTAAATAAAATAAGCTACTATCTTTATATTGACAATTTAGACGATTAACAATGTCGTCATACATATTCTATAAATTTAACACCTCTGCCTCATACCATATACGTTGAATTAATCTCTTCTAATATCAGTAACCTTTAAAATTTCATATTTTGTTCTTTCTATGATTTTTTTTGTTCTACCTGGATTGGAAATACAATATTTTTATTTTATTTTCAGAAAAACATATACCAAAATGACCGAACGCCAATGAAATGTCAAGCTAGTCCGTATTCCCTATCGCCTTTAAGTACGAGCAGTCAAAGGTTACTAAGGTCGCCGCATAAAGCTACTAGGAAAATTTCAAGGATACCTTTTAAAGTGAGTTATTTTTTCGAAGGTCTATTAATTATTGTCAGTCTCATTTTTAATTTTGGGATATAATTAGGGATGTTGAAAAGTATCGATATATCAAAATATCGATACTGTATTAAATATAAAACGGTATCGAAACATTTCTCGGTGTTTAAACTTCTTAACTATACAGGGTGTTCCAGAAATAAGTGCAAGTATTTTACGGGGTGGTAGATGTGGTCAAAAGAAACATTTTTTCTTTTTACCGTTTTTCAAATAAGTCCAAAATAACCGAGTTATTTTACTTTGAATATTGTAAAAATAATGATTTTTTGCTAAAATTTTGAGAACCACTGGACAATAGGTCCAATTTAGACATACAGTAGAGATGTCTAAAATTATCGATACTGTATGTATATTCTACTAGGAACTAGGAAAATCAAATTCAAATATACCTTTTAAAGTGAGGATTTTTTCAACATTTAAACTATAAATTATCAGTCTCATGTTTAATTTTGTGACATAGATTAGGGATGTATAAAAGTATCGATATATCGAAATATCGGTACTGTATAAAATATAAAACTACTAGAAAGATTTTAGGGATACCTTTTAAGTTATGCATTTTTCAGTGTTTAAACATCCTAACTATAAATCGTCAGTCCATTTTCAATTTTGTGATATACAGTAGAGATGTGTAAAATTATCGATATATCGAAATATCGATACTGTATAAAACTACTACGAACTAGGAAAAACAAATTCAAACATACCTTTTAAAGTGAGTAGTTTTTCAACATTTAAACGATAAATCGTCAGTCTCATGTTTATTTTTGTGACATACAATAGATATGTCTAAAAGTACTGATATATCGATAGTGCATAATATCTATATATATACATATATCAATATTATCAATATTCAATATCGATATATCATAATTTTTTTTTATTAAAAGTATCAATACATATATCGAAATATCGATACTTGTAAAACTAATAGAAAAATTTCTGGATATTTTTTAAAGTGGGTTTTTTTTCAATAAACTTCTTAACTATAAAATTGTCAGTCTGATTTTTAATCTTGTGACATGACAAACAGTAGAGATGTCTGAAAGTATCGATATATCGAAATATCGATATTGCATAAAGCTACTAGGAAAATTCCAGGATGCCTTTTAATGTGACATTAATATTTTTAATTTTGTGAATTATAGCTTATAGCAGGGATGTCTAAAAGTATCGATTTTTTTATATATCCTTATTTTTTTCTAAAACTTTTTCGATTCGATTTCGATCATCGTTATCAGATACTTCTACCTAAATTGTAGAAGTATCTAGTGGGCTGTGTTGCCAGCTTTTCGAAATAGAATTTCCCACGAAGACGGTCAAAATTTCCTGTTTTTTTTTCTAAAAATTCCCACGAGTTCTGATAGTGTCTTCCACACAATTCAGATATTATGTTTTTTAAATGAAAATTTTATTTTTTTTAAGGTTTTGGATGCCCCCGAGCTGCAAGACGACTTCTATTTAAATCTAGTCGACTGGTCAGTCCAAAACGTCTTAAGTGTGGGTTTGGGCAGCTGTGTATACTTATGGAGTGCCTGTACTAGTCAAGTAAGTTCAGTTTGAATTTTCTATATACACCATTAAAAGTTCACATCAAACATAAAAAAATAATATGTAATACATATTCCATTTTCTATTTAAAACGTTTAAAAAAGAACATAGTAAAGAATATTTACAGTTTTTTTGTCATTTTAATTCAAAAATAAAATTATTTTTTTCTCTCGATTATTATCTGTCGAAATCGTACATTTTTTGGATAGACTTTATATAGAATTCGTTAAATTTTTAATATATTTTGTTTTGTTTAGGTAACGAGGTTGTGTGATCTGTCAAGTGATAGTAATGTAGTCACCTCTGTCTCTTGGAGTGAACGGGGGAACCTAGTCGCAGTAGGATCACACAATGGTTCTGTTACAGTAAGTTTTATTATGTGTAATAAGTTCAGTTCATTTTGCAAATACTTCAATCGGTTTCAACATATTATATTCAAAATTATTTTATTATACAGCATAAATATAAATAAGAAAATCAAATAAAAATGTGTGTTTTTTATAGGTTTGGGATGTGACGGTTAACAAACAAGTCAACAAATTGATGGGCCATTCTGCAAGAGTGGGCGCCCTGGCCTGGAATGGGGATGTTTTAAGTTCGGGTAGTAGGGATAGAATGATATTACAAAGGGATACTCGAACTCCGCGTAAGTATTGACCCATTATTTATATCCCGTAAAAATATCACTATTACAATGTCTTTAACATATTGAATAAAAAGTCTAACGAAGGAACATATCAGCAAGATTAGCGAGACCGCGACGGTACTTCCAATAGACAGACTTATTGTTTAATTTGGTACTTGCTTTGGTACTTGTTACAAAAATATAGAAAACTGTGAATTTCTACTGTTATAAGAACTCACATTATATAATTTTTGTACTGTTGATATTCCTCTAAAAGTCTTAATCATGTAAAACAAATCCTCTAATATCTGTATTATTTTTTTTTGTAGCCAACGTAACAGAACGTCGACTGATAGGACATAGACAAGAAGTTTGTGGACTCAAATGGTCACCAGACAACCAATATTTAGCATCAGGTACTTTTATTGCTTCTTATAAATTCTTCTAAAAATGTTTCTAAAGAAATAAATCATACACAATAATCACTAGCGAATGAATACAACGTTGTTCTTGGCATTAACCAAGGTTTTTGTTTCCAGGTGGAAACGACAATAGACTGTACGTGTGGAACATGCAATCCCCCACTCCTGTTCAAACCTACACCGATCATCTGGCGGCTGTCAAAGCGATAGCTTGGTCGCCTCATCACCATGGGCTGTTGGCTTCAGGCGGTGGAACAGCTGACAGGTGTATAAGGTTCTGGAACACGTTGACTGGACAACCGATGCAGTGCGTCGATACAGGTAAAAAAAATTCCATACCCTCCTAACTATAGTCTGTCAAAGGATAACTCGCAATTCTGTCACTGTTAATTTAAGTTGTGACACACTTTCCTCCTTCTACAGTTCATACCAAATAAACTTTTAATCACGTGATCAAGCTTGACCGGCGCAGCGTTGTCTACTTTTACATAAAAGGGACATAAAGGGCCATTACTACCGCTTTCCCGTTCAAAATATTCTAATAAATTTGCGATTAGTTTTTTCTCGGCTATTATGCTATCTTGTACACTTCGCACTAAAAGAGGTTCTAAAAAGAACATTGTTCGACTGCAAGGTCTGCTAGTAAACAATTTTAAGCTTAAAGTATCACAACACTATTTATTTAAACCCAAAACTCGTAATATAAAACTAAAGTGTGAAAACGAATGACAATGTCAGGAAATGAATAAATAAATAAATAAACTTGACATCCCCAGCGCGAAATTTAAATTCCAGTTGGTCAGCTCGGTGCCGAATATGTCCGTGGTTGGCAACAATGAATTTAAAAATCGCGCCCTCGATTACGTAACTAAAAGATTTGATATCAAATATACAGGGTAGCGCATCTCATTCGCCTCGGTTGATTATACTAAAACGGAAAGATGTAGAAACAAAATATTTTATGGGTATATGTGGGGAGGGAATGTGCACAATTTAAAGTTATTTTGAAATGTACAGGGTCTTTCAGAACTAAGATCCATACCAAAGTTATATTTTTTCTTATGGAACACCCGGTATTTTATTTGATTTTTGGATTTTTGGGTCCAAAAAAAGGTATTTATTATAAGGGTTAAATATGTTTAAAATCTTTGGTTTTTGAGATATTTAAGGATATTTCAAAATGCATGCTACATTAGAATAGATATTAACACCCTGTACATTGCCCTTCACAACTAATTCCTGCGCTGACTTTTAAGCCAGAGAAATAAACTTTACTGAAAAATTTGATTGCTTCGTTTAATATATACAGGGGTACCAAAAATTGCTGGTCAATTTTAAATATTTATTTTACATAAAAACTTCGTTATTTCAAATACAACACCCTGTATTTTTTTAAAATAAATCGAAGCAGATTCAAATGCTCTTTCAAACTGTATTAGGGTTTCCTATACCTGTCTAGCTCAGATTTTGAATAAAAAGCAATTTTTCAATAAAATGGCAGTCAAGATGGCTGGTGTCGCCATGGCAATTTTCTAGTTAAAGTTAGTAACTCTTTTCAAAATCGACATTAGTTTATGGACATTATTATTTAGATTTATAACAGTTTACTTAAATGCAGCTACAGTAGTTTAATAAGTAAGTATTCATTATTTTATTAAGAAAAATAAAGCAGGATCTGCTGGTGGAACGAATGGATATGAAGGGCTTATGCTCAAAGATATCCAAATAGGAATCTTCCTGATAAGCTTTCCTTGAAAAAATACTTTTCTATTTCGCAGAACTATGGTAGTGTGGTTTACAAAAACCTAGTAGGCAGAAACCTGTCGTTAGAAAATGAATTTGCCGTAATTGGCTCTTTTATAGAAAATCCAGATAGGTACCTATCTACAAGTGAACGTAAAATAAATGAAAGAACTACTTCTTCGTTTTTCTTGAATAATAAATACATATTTAATAAATATTATTTAAAAAAACTACTGTAAGCAAATTAAACAAAAATAAACTGCTATAAATTTAAATAAAGTTCATAAGCTAATTTTGATTTTCAAAATAGCTACTAACTGTCACTGGAAACTTGACATCAGCCATCCTGGTTGCCATTTTATTGAAAAATTGCTCTTTATTCAATATCTGAGCTAGATAGGTATAGGAAACCCTAAAATAGTTCGAAAGAGCATTTAAACCTGCTTCGATATATTTAAAAAAATACAGGGTGTTGTATTTGAAATAAGGAAGTTTTTATGTAAAATAAATATTAAAAATAGACCAGCAATTTTTGATACCCCTGTATACATTAAACAAAGCAATCACATTTTTCAGTAAAGTTTATTTCTCTGGCTTAAAGGTCAGCACAAGAATTAATTCTGAAAAGTAATGTACAGGATGTTGACACACTTTTTTATTATAGCATGCATTTTTAAATATCTTTAAATATCTCAAAAACCAAAGATTTTAAACATATTTAACCTTTATAACAAATACCTTTTTTTGGGCCCAAGAATCCAAAAATGAAATAAAATACAGGGTGTTCCATAAGAAAAAATATAACTTTGGTGTGTATCTTAGTTCTGAAACAACCTGTACATTTCAAAATAATTTTAAATTGTGCACATTGCCTACCCACATACACCCATAAAATATTTTGTTTCTACATCTTTCCGTTTTCGTATAATCAACCGAGGCGAATGAGGTGCGCCATCCTGTATATTTACTTACTACGTCTTATTATATCATTTTTTAAAGATTTTTACGTTTTATTTTTCATTTAATAATTAATATTTTATAATTAATTTATTTATTAACAGTAGTCACTAACACTCACAATAGAAATATTTAAATTTAAGCTACTTAAGCTTATTAGCTACTCGCTATAAATTGAAAATAAGTAGAAATAACTTTGAAAGCGGTATAATATGCTTACCAATCAAACTTACTTCTCTGACTGCAGTTAAGGGTAATAAAGGACCTTTAATGTCACGTTCTCCTTCAAAATAATTTATCAGGAAAGCTACAAGCTCTGTGCTTCGACTGTTTAAATGCTTCGCCATATTTTCAACACACAATTTCAAGAGATACAATACAAAAACTGGAAAATTTATTATTTAAAAGATCTGTTTGTGCTTAAAAGTACAATTTAAAAAAAAGGACTATGAAAATCGACAAAAACGAGAATTACTCCCAAAGATTCAACAACATTATGATAATTGATTGTCAAATAATAAACGACAACGTTGCTGATCGCGGCGCAATGTGACCAACATGGCGATAATAAAAATCGCTTTAAACTAATTTTTGCAGCTTTAATCTAAATAAAATATCTGTTACAATCATTTGATCTATAAAGTAAAATGAAGAGCTGCTCGGTATCTTAAATTATCCAGCAAATTTCAACATTTTTACCAAAATTTCTTTTAGTCAGGTTTATAGGCTTTAGTGTCAATTTCGATATGATTGATGACGTGCATCGGAAAATGTTACGATTACAATATAATAAATATGTAATCTCAAATGATTGTGAGTGAAAAAATAATCATAAGCATCAATAAAAACTAACATAAAAAAATGACCATTTTTTCATTCCTCATCAATCCTATTTTACAGGTTCGCAAGTTTGCAATTTGGCCTGGTCCAAACACAGTTCGGAGCTGGTCTCCACCCACGGCTACTCCCAGAACCAGATCCTCGTGTGGAAGTACCCCAGCCTGACCCAGGTGGCCAAACTCACCGGCCACTCCTACAGAGTCCTGTATCTCGCGCTCAGCCCCGATGGAGAGGCGATAGTCACCGGCGCCGGCGACGAAACGTTGCGATTCTGGAACGTTTTCAGCAAGGCGCGCAGCCAAAAGGAAACTAGGAGCGTATTGAGTCTGTATACTGGGATTCGTTAGGTTTATATATAGAAGTGTAAGAAAATTTAATTATTCTGATTGGATGGAACATATAGAGAGGTATATGTTTGATGTGACGGTAAAGTCAGTGATATATGCCCTTGTATCAATAAAACTATGCGTTTTGTAGTTTTTTAGGTTATGGTTGAAGTGTGACACTTGAATTTCATATAAAGGCTGTTTAACAGTTGGCAATTTTACTTGTTTGCAGGGTTGGGTAGGTAGAAAATTTATATATTCTACAGTATTTTCTACACGTAGAATATTAATAAACTTATCTACATTTTCTACATGTCCATTTGTAGAAAATTAATTTTGTACATTAGAAGCCATTTTTTACGTTTATATTTGTTTTAAATATTTTAACACAATGATTAGTACGAGAAATAAATTAATAACAATAACTCTGATTGTTATTTATTGTTTAACAAATGGATAATAATATGTCATAAAACATTAACTATATTTTCCGATTATTTGAAATAGACATGTGACTTATTTGTGATTCAATAATATCGATAGATTGAACAAAAACTAATTCTCAATAGTAAAACCCAAACGGTACAAGAAAAAAATATATTAACACCTAACATAATGATAAAAATAAGAACTAAGAACTACAATAATTATTATTATTGAAATTAAAATTGAAAAAAATAACCAAAACTTGTACTGTAAAATCAGACTTTTTTCTACTGTCTTCAGATTAAATAGAATAAAATAATTTAGTCTTCAGATTGATTACTGTCTCTTATCTTCAGTAGTTAGTACCGTCACAGAGACAACGCATTACAGTTTTAGCACATATAGAATTTAAAGAAAATATACCCAGGAGGAAACTTGTAAAGGGAAAAAACAGCTTTAAATATACAAAATTAATTTTGAACATGTAGATACTCGGTTTTTATTAATTTTCTACTTAATATTCTACATTTTCTACGCATTTTTCGTTACCCAACCCTGCTTGCTTGCAAGAGAGGTTGCAGTTCGCTTTACAGTCGTCATATATTTCTGGAATTTTTGTATTCTCAAAGTGATACCAAAATATGAAAAAAAAATTTGATATTTTAAAATCGAACTTAACTAACATATCTTGTGTTTTTTTGTCAGTATTGTGATTAGTAACGTTAGTATACTCGTATTCATTACATGCTACAGGATAGTGAAACCTGATAAAGCAATAATATTTAGAAATATTTCCTAAATTATTACGTTGGTTACTATACAACTTGCAATAAAAATTGAGCAAGACGATTTTCTGCAAGTCCTTGCTTGTTGCATACGAATTGCCAAAAATTGCTGTTTTTGAACTGCGCATGTCTTCCTTCAAGAAAATTGCGAATTGGAGAAACTCTTGCCAACTGTAAAACAACCTTAGGAAAAAAATTGACGTTTCAGTTTGAACTAGATGAGAGTGTCATTTTCAGGCTTAATTACAATCCTTTGCAGCCATGTTTTATTGGTACACCATATATTGATTGACTTAAGAAAAGATATTTTTTGATATAAGGTAAAAAATACCTTTATTAATGAAGATAGGAAGTTTTTTTTTTGTAATAACTGCATGTTCAATCATTGGAAGGGTTGTAAAGAAACTCTTTTTTGGAAAATATTTTTGAAAATGCACACATAATTGTAGTTGTTTCTTTCGATTCAGATAAATTGACTTAAATAATAAAAGAAATCTTAAATGAAGCAAATGAAACAGGATTTAAAGACTAAGATTTTTTTAAACCAGATCAATAATTTTATCTTAATCATTTGCAAAATTTTGCGGATATAAATTTAAAAAATCTACTTACAGTACCTGAATAAAGTCTGTTTAATGATTCTGAGAAAATTTTGAGAGGCGACAGGCAAAAAAATGACAGGAAATACAATTTACCTGCCATTAAAATGTAACTGTATGCATCTCCTCGTTGGACATACTATATATTATTTTTATTTATAATTATTTTACACTTGCTGTTATAACATACAAAAACACCATATTCATTCATTGACCTTCAAAATAAATTGTTTTTTCTTCCTGTGAAACTATATAGGGTGTGTAAAAAAATGTGAAATCTTTAAGGGGCGATTTCTTGGTAAAAATTAAAGGTAGTTAGCTACCTTAGTATAGTCTGCCGAATAAGAGGATACATGATAGTAACAGTTGTGACTGTCATTATAATGCATATATAAATTGTTTTTTCTCTTATTTTTTGGATGTCATCTGTCGAAATATTCAGCTGGACAGACTTGAGTTAGAAATTGTCTACCTATTGGCTTTTGACTGCTAAATTTGACAATTTGAATTGATAGCAACTTATGACTGAATTTTTTAGGTTAAGTAGAACCCTGGTTTTTTGTGTATTCTGAAATATTTTCCAAAAAAGTAAACATGTTTTTTACAACTCTCTGGACTCCTTATTCTAATCAAAAATTTATAATTTGTTATAATAATAAAATTGTGTTCTACATTGCTTTACGGTAACAACTTACTTCAGTGCACAAAGTTGACAGTAAGTTATAAACGTGCTCCATAAGTGCAATTATATCTTTTATACAGGGTGATTGACTAATAATATTATACTAAAGCTGGGGAAGTCCTATAAATTATTTTTTTGAAGAAAATTTAAGAGGACGATTTAAACACCCTGTATAAGATTCCGGTGCCATTTTTCCTAATAGCCTGACAACAAACACAAATAAGACTTGAATAAATATAATTTTTAGCCATAGTCAATATAATATAAACTATTTTCTTTATTTAAAAAATACAATATACTAGAAATTTTAGTAGACTGACTCTTTATTATTAATAATATACAGGGTGGTCATTTATGTAAAAATACATACTGAGAATCAATTCAAATATCTACTGTATGATGGAAAAAATCGGCGTCAAGTTCGGTCACATTTTATGTGTAAAAGTTAAAATATGAAATGTTATTGATCGTCATTGCTAAGCTAACTTGATGCCGTTTTTTTATTGTATGGAATATAGTATATTATATAAGTGGCCACGCCGTATATATCAATGATAAAGCTTAAATTGTTTGATTTTCAGTTCAAAAACTTCTTTTTGATTTTCAGTATTAGAAAAAAATATTCAAAATTTTAGTGTATATTTTTTTAAATTAGGAATTACGTCATAGTGTTCATATTTATAGGTTAATATTCGATTTAACGCAAATTAAATTACTACAACCTGATTAAATTTAATAAATAGTTATTAAAGTTTGTCATACAGTTTAACCTTATTAATTATATCATATGAGTTCAACCAAAGCGTTAATTATAATCCTACTAACAATTATCTACGTACAGGGTGTGTCATGATAACTCTTCTTTTTGTGCAAGGGTTATGGTGATACACCATACTATAGGGCTATTTTCTATATGTAATCTAAAAAAAGGATGCTAGTCAGCTTGCTTCCAAGAAGCAAGAGTTATTATTGAAAATTTAGGAATTCATGCCCTGGTCGACATTTTTTTAATATATATTATCATAATTTTGACTTGATATACAGAGTGTGGCAAAAAGTTCCCATCAAATGAGATTTATTTTCGAGTTGTTAAAGAAAAAATTATTCAGAATTTCTTCAGCATGTTCAGTAATAATAAAAATATATATTTTGACATATGTCATGTGACAACTTAGCATTTATCGTTCAGAGAAATTGTGATTATGTGAAAAAATATAGAAAAAAATCAAAAATCTGAACTAAACCAAATCCTGAAAAACTTTTCTCGTTTTGACTCTTTTAATTATTTTGTCACCTAACCCTACTTTTTATATGTGTATAAAGCATTTTTGCAATGCGTACCTATGATAGGTGTCGCTTATGTCAAAATATATTTTCTGTTATTAGACGGGCGTGCTGAAGAAATATGACAAACTTTTCTTCAAGAACAATTATAATAAAAATCCATTTATTGCGAACTTTTTGACACACCCTGTATAAAGTACCTACAGTGCTACTATAAAAATTAGTTAGAATAAAAATTGGAAGATTCAGAGCTAAAAAAATATACAGTGGCCACCAAAAAGTTTGAAACAATTTTTTTTATCTATTCCAAATATATTTTTTTATTGTAGCACTGTAAAAATAATATATGGGGGTGTTGCTAAATATAATATAGTAGTTTTTGTTAAAGAGTGATCCAAGAATATTGGAAGGATAAGTTTCAAAATTTCCTTTAAAAATATATTGTACATATAATTTAGCTATTATGTTTCATCAAAAACACTATATTTTTTAAACGATACCCTGTATATTTTGTTACATAATGATTTACATACTGTAATTAACTAATATAGCTACGTTTTGCACGTTTATCTTTATTTATATTATACATTTTTATTTTGATATACTTCCATGAAGTAAATTTTTTATATTTTAATTATTTTTTATTTATATGCTATAAATTTTTATTTTGATGTGATATCTATATATCTATTAAATAATATATGATTTTATGTATTATTTTGGGGAACAGTTACTAAGAGTAACAATTTTTTTTTCTTTTTTCAAGATTCATAGAGATTGTATTAAATTTTTTATAATATCGTATATCAACTAATATATTTTTTCGAAAAATAATTAATTATATTATTTGTGTTTATTAATTAAAAAATATATTTTATATCGTGCTAAATTTTTTAGTTTTAACTTTTTGGGATTCAATAACGATACTAAATAATTTAGTATTATTTTAGATTTTAAATAATAAAATGGTTTGAAAATAAAACTAATTTTAGGTGGATTGTTTTGTAATTCTGAACGTGGATATGTTCATTTCGTTGCAATATTACTTTATTGTGTAAATTATAATTACTGGTAAAAAAGTAGACAGAGAATAATAAAAGGTTTGTTGAAATGTATATCATTTTTTTAGTATCATAAAGAGCCCCACTTCTCTGTTATTCTTAACAGATGGTTAAAACTGTTGGAAGAAAAAATGTTAGGCAGTCAGACCCTGAAATCTACATAAATATAGTCCCAAACAGCAGCAAATGTCGCCTATTCCTATTAGGCCATTCGTTTAAGACATCCCACATCGCAAACGGGACTGTATCTACGATTTTTTTTATATATTAGGACCCATGACACTAAGTTATGCCCAATTTTGCAACCCTCAAAACCCTGTGCTACTCCCGTGATACTCAAAAAACCTCAAAATTTTGGTACATATTTCAGTTTCTTTGAAAAAACTATGTTAAGAAAGCATTTTTCAAATTTAATTGTTCTATACTTTTATAAAGTCAACTAAATTTCCTACAATTTAAGCCCAACCCGAACCCTCTAGGCCAATTCGTTGTTCAAATACAGCCAATCAAATATCGGCAATTTTTTTGAAAAACTAAAAATTTATGAGTACGGTCACATTCCAAAGTACGTATCGGCTAAACTAATGGCTCTAGAGAAAAGTCATGAGAAATAGAGTTGTAGAGAATTTATTCAGCTATAATTTGATATAAGAATGAGGCCGCTAGGCGTCGTATTTTGCTCAAAAACCAAAATATAGTAAAACATTGAATTTTGGGGGGTATCATGAAAACATATTTTATTAAACTTAATTAAAAATAAACAACATAAATATAATATGTATAAACTATAAAATATAATACAAAAGCCCTACTTTACTTGGCCCTCTTAGAAGGACGGCCCCATCCATTCCGGATCAGTCGGAGGAGGAGGAGGGGGAAGGACATTCTCTGACGATGGAGGTGGGGCCTCATATGTTAAATCGTCCAATTCCTCGTCCTCTCAAGATGATGGGAGCAACGTTGCTGCAACTTCGCCCTTGGTAAAAGGAACAGAGGATGGAGCACTTCAATCCTGCTTTTCTGCAAATGCAGGATCCTATGCAGCCTTTCTTGCATCTGCAAACAACCATCTTAAGCAGGTATTCAGGGGCGGGCTCTGCACGCATAGTTATTGTCATAAGACCCTGTTGACTCATAAGACCCTGTTGATTTTTCTCGACCCCCAACCATTTTTGGACCTGGTGGTAGGTTCTCCAGAAATGGAATATTTGGCAGCTTCTGTAGTTGAGAGGAGGCTGGCAAGGTTTATTTTGGCCATTCCTGTCGATTTTACGAATGCCAAGTATCGCATGCTGTTCAGCGTGCCCTGATCCCCTCCAGAGAGGTTCAACAAAATCTCGCCAGCATTTCCTACTTCTTCCTACGTCGAGTTTGGATCAAAGAAAATGGTGGCGAAGTCTATCCAGTGGGGATTTTTTTGTAGACATTTGCACCACTTCATTTTGCCTTGCTAGAAAAGAGCAGAAGTGGTCACACCCACTGATTGCATGCAGAAACAAAACCATCTCTCCTGGAAGCTCCATTTTTCCACTTAAGAAAGAATTTGCCTCATATCGAGAGCACTCGGATCCACCTCTACCGCCTTTCTGGAAGTAGACGTTTGTTTGTCCACAGCTCATGCCATTTAGGAGGACCAGTAAATCAACATCCTCCCCCATGATAAAAACTTGGTCGTACGATGAGCTCTTGGAGAGGGCAGTTCTCACTATCTCAGCATCGGCGTCTTCTGGTGATTGATGTACCTCGATACCCTGTCTCTCAAATTCGGTACACATCATGGTGATCAGTCGGCGTTTCTTCGATTCATTTGAGAGCACTTTTGCTTGGGGCATTTTGATGAGTGTCGCTTCATCAAACAAAATGAATCACACAATTTTTTCGTTTTTGAGGAAAATACGACACCTAGCGGCTCTATTCTTATATCAAACTAAAGCTGAATAAATTCTCTACAACTTTATTTTTCATGACTTTTCTCTAGAGCCATTAGTTTAGGCAATACGTGCTTTGGAATGTGACCGTACTCATACATTTTTAGTTTTTCAAAAAATAGCCGATATTTGATTGGCTGTATTTCGACAACGAATTGGCCTAGAGGGTTCGGGTTAGGCTTAAATTGTAGGAAATTTAGTTGACTTTATAAAAGTACAGAACAATTAAATTTGAAAAATGCTTTCTTAACATAGTTTTTTCAAAAAAACTGAAATAAGTACCAAAATTTTGAGGTTTTTTGAGTATCACGGGAGTAGCACAGGGTTTTGAGGGTTGCAAAATTGGGCATAACTTAGTCTCATGGGTCCTAACAATATATTAAAAAATTGTACATACAATACAGTCCCGTTTGCGATGTTTGCCTTTTTAAATGTCTTAGATGATACTGGCCTATATATAAAATTCACTACCAGTGACGTTACTGTAGCAAACTTCCCCTTGGAGATGCAAGACCTTGTCGTTGATGGGGAAGCTCCTGGTCAGGTACTGGGGGGAATCCCCTCTAGCACTTGGCTTGGTCTAAGAAGCATCTCACTCATCGTCTTGTCCCTGACTGTAGTGTCGTGGCCAGGGAATTGCATCAAGACATATAACGATACCGGGCGGGGCTACGGACAGCCTCAACCTTGGGGCACCGGGGTGCACCCCATTGTATTTTACCCCTTACTACATGCGGGGCTCTGTAGAAGTGGACCGACTGACCCTAGCGACTCATAGGAACACTATGAGATCTGATAATAATAGTAATAAAAACATCACCGGTGAAGCTGTGGGGAAACCCCCTAGCGACACTGGGAACAGTAACAATGAAAGTTCGAAGGAGCCAAACCCAAAGAGAACTACAGGAGAGGTGGCTGACACTTGCGTGAGACCATCCTCCGCAAGTGGCATACAAGCTACCACCTCCTCCAAGGGTCGGGAGCCTACTTCCTACCTCTAAACCCAACAGGCGACACAAGCTACCGTTTCGTCTACCCCGCCTGGGTCGTAGCTCCTCGGCTGTGAGGGTCACGGGTCTCCGTAGGAAGTCCTGGGACTGTATGATGAGTTATAACTCAAGAAAGGGGGACACAATAGATCTCTAAGGTCGCAGAGATTAACCCCCCTCCCACTTATTCTAATTCTAATTCTACTGTAGCAAAATCTGTCTTATCCACAAATATTTGCTTTTTATTGTCATTGTTGCAAATCCCGCATTTTTTCATTGTCTTTTCACACAGGTATAATATTACTACTAGTGTCTTATCCATTTCAAATCCTTACCTAATTTTAACAAAGTAGCATTTCTAGTAAATCAAGTTAGGATGCCAATATCTTGCTGTAGCATAACCCGCAATATGCATCATACTGCAACAAAACCTGCCTTATCCGAATTATTTTTATTTTTTCTCTTTAAAAATTAAATATAAATTTGTATTTCTAGAAAACCCTGATACAAAACAATAATTCCACTCAATAGACACGTTTTTGTAAAATAACGCTTCAAATGTTTGCTAAAACAGTTTTTGCATATGATCTTGAAACAACGTTTTTGGGACAAGGTTTTGCAACTTGACACCTCAAGTATTATTAATTCTTCTAATTGACATATACATTTTTAATCTTGACTAAAAATAAAACAGTGAATATTATAAATATGCTTTATTGATTGCGCATTCCGAGTATTTTAACCTTTTTTCCTCAATTTTAACAAGCAGCTTCACTAAGTTTAGTATAAATTCTTTGCAAATCCACACAAACAGGAATGTAATACAAAATAATCATGAACATAACGAGTCGATCACGAAATGATGTGAGAAATGGGAATAAACTTAATACTAAAATACATAAATATATTTTCTATACATAGGTATATACGAATAAGCAAAATATAAACAGAAAGCATATATTTTTACTTTCTTATTATTTGACAAGATAGGTGATCACACTTCCACACACTATTCTACAGGAATAGAATGAAAAACTTACCAAACAACACAAAACCAAGTGAATTATACAGGGTTGACTACTTTTTGTTTTGAGATATAGTTGTCTCATACTCGTGACATATATGTCAAAATTATTTTTTGTAAATAAAAAATTCTATATCATGCAATCTTTTAGCCATCACATATTTAAATATTTTACGAGTTTGAGGGCAGTTAGAGATTACTACAATAAGTGGAAGACCCTGTATATTTTTTCCAAAAAAAGAGAAAAACAATTACTGAAATGTTAATGTAAAACATAATAATTAATACAGAGTGATATATTGGGCACTAAATTAAAATCATTTTGTTTCACTTCAATTTTTAATATGCATATTATGTATGCACAGGGTTTTTTGTATCTACTGGGTGTTTCATTAAAAACAGTGAAGTTTTAGTTGTTTCTTAACAATTTATTCGGCCCAGGCAAAACCTTACAACTTGTACATTTAAAGTTTTTTACTTCCTCCAATAAGTAAGCCTGTAGGTATCGCACTAAATACATATGTAAAAACCCTGTACTAACAACTAATAGTCGTTAAAAACTCTTTTGCGCTGAATGTTGGCACTAAATTTAGGATAGATTTAACAAATTTAAGTAGC